CCATCCATCCATCCATCCATCCATCCATCCATCCATCCATCCATCCATCCACATATACAATGACTGCTTTTGCATAAGATGTAGGTTCAATGGATAGTACCAAACTACACAGCTTACAAACTGTGTCCACAGTCTGTGTGGGGCTTACAACTGCCATCTAAATGCAGGGACTGGAAATACAACACGGCATATCTTCCAACCTGTTGTACTCTGGACAGTTATTTCCGACTGCATTTGGAAAGGATAAGAAAGGATAAAATAGGACATGCCTTGCTACCAAAGTCTAAACTTAAGAGAATGTACCTTGCTGGCTCATTTCCAGAGCCTGAAATTGGAGTGTACAATTTACTGCTAACACAAGCTGACGCCAAGGAACAAAAATGGGTTTCATTGTTGAACACTGCAGCAAATAACTAATCAGGCAACTAAAGAGTCAATGGGTTAACTCCTTACTTTCATCTGCCATGTAACACTTAAACAACACTACTCACTAAGTGTTGTTTCTAAGATTCAGGAAAGCAAGTTGCAAGGAAAATAGAACCAATGAAATATTTTTAGTGTTCAGTAGTTTGCAAGGGTTACCTTTTGAGTTGCTTGAGAGCCAAACTTGCTAGCCTGTTGAAAAAAGAAAAATTAGCTTATTTCGATTCCACGATTCCTTTTAAAAATCAAAAATTCAAACGCTCTGAAAATTCTAGGATTTTTAAACATTATTTTTTAAGTACCCCTACCTCCTACCATCTTAAGGAACTGGCAACCATTATGCTCCCGCATCCCAAATTATGTGTACCACACAAACCGGTTTTTAATGCTACCTAAACATACTCCATTCATTTCTTCCTTTTGAATGAGCCTAACCATCTTTCATGCTTGTCTGAAACACTATTAGGAATCTTATCGAGTCTGAACGCTATAGAAAAAACACACACAGATGCACAGACAAGAAAAGGCAGGGTACAAAGAAAAGTGTAGTGAATGCTATTATTACAGACAAGATCTCAATAATAGCCTTCTTGGTGAGTAACAATACAATATAATACCAGAGTTGGAAGGGACCTTGGAGGTCTTCTAGTCCAACCCCCTGCCTAGGCAGGAAACTTTATACCGTTTCAGACAAATGGCTACCCAACATCTTCTTAAAGACTTCCAGTGTTGGAGCAGTCACAACTTCTGGAGGCAAGTTGTTCCATTGGAACATGGAATTCTGATATTAGTCAAACTAAATTTCATTTCACAATCTATTCAAAGTTTATATACTATTACAGCATTCTAAGCAAGTTCATATAGTGGCAGTTCAGGCTATGATGTTGAAGTGCTGGCCTAGGAGACAGCCTCAGATTAGGCATGAAAGCCGAATGGGTGAGTTGGGTCAATCACCAGGAGACTGTGAGTTCTAGTTCTGTCTTAGGCATGAAAATCAGGTGGGTAACTTTGGGCCAATCACTCTCTATCTCTTCCCATTCCACCTTACAGGATAGTTATTGTGGGGAAAAACAGGAGGAAGAAGGTGTGTTAGGTAGGTTTGCCAAGTTTATTTGCATATGAAAAGAGATGGGATAAAAATTTAAATCTAAATCATCTAAATCTAAAAAATCCA